AGTCCCGCATTGGGCTCCTTGCTCGGCAGGGAGCCTGCTTCTCTCTCTGCCTCTGCCTGCCTCTCTGCCTGCTTGTGTGTACTCTCTCTCTCTCTCTGGCAAATAAATAAAAATCTTTAAAAAAAAAAAAAAAGAAAAAAGAAAAGAGAGAAGTGCATAAACTTTGGATTTGGTGGATATTCAATACCTAACAGGATATTATGTTTTCCTGTTATCCCAGAATTGTGGCAGAAAACAAAAGGCATCAAACCTAACTCCTTTTTAAAAATTTTTATTTTATTTAAATTCAATTAATTAACATAGAGTGTATTATTAGTTTCAGAGATAGAGTTCAGGGATTCATCAGTTGCATATTACACTCAGTACTCATTACATCACATACTCTCCTTAATGTCCATCACCCAGTTACCCCATCCCCCCACCCACCTCAGTATGTTTCCTACAGTTAAGTATCCCTACAGTTATTTCATTTTTCTGATGGCTGAATAATATTCCATGGTATGTATATACCACATCTGCCTTAACCATTCATCTGTCCGTACACATCTGGGCTCATTCCATAGTTTGGCTATTGTAGACATCGCTGTTAGAAACATTGGGGTGCAGGAAAACTACCTCCTTCTAAGCACAGAGAAGTAGCCAGAATTTGAGAGCAATCACCAGACACTTCCATCCCCACCTCACTGAAAGATGCCAAAGAAGAAAAGTGGGAGCCCCCTCCCTACTCCCTTGTAGAGGTTGAACATTTATTTATTTATTTGAGAGAGAGTATGGGGCTCAATGTGGGGCTCCATGCGGAGCTTGATTCCATGACCCTGAGATCACAACCTGAGCTGAAATCAAGAGTCAGATGTTTAACCAACTGAGCCACCCAAGCACCCAGGGAGGCTGGTCATTTTTAAGCCAGGAGACCTGTTAACCTACCTCTGGTTACTCTTGGAGGAAAAAACCAAACACTTGAGGAGAGGAACCAGGATCTGCATGTTGGGGGCCGTGGTGGGTACTATCAGATAGAGATGGGGCCAGAACCCCTTTGCTTAAGTTTGCAGCTCAAGGAAGTACAAAAGTTGTAGCCCACATGTGCCTGCAGACCTGGGAGTTGGCCATGGGAAGATGAGATTGATGGCTTTAATCTTGTCTGAAGTGGCAAACACTGGGGCTAGAGTAAGTCAGAGAAATGTAGCAGTACTGACAGCGGGCTTCCTTCTATTCCTAGATTGTTTCGGGCGTTTGTAATTTCTAATCCAGTTGGGTCACTTCTAATCCTTAGAAACCGTTTCTGGCCGGGCCATGAAAGTAGGCAGTATAAGACTCCTAAGTCCTCCAGGGACGCGGAGTCCCTGAAACCGCCCGATCCAACCTCTAAGACGTGTACCTTTCTGGGATCCTGCTGGCAAGGGTTGGCGGCGTCTGCACCTTGCCCTCCACACACTAGGGGGTGTGCTTTGGTCTCTGGCCCGCTTAGTTCGCAGGCGCTCGCCCTTCCTTGCCGCACCGGATTAGGCCACATCCTCGGACCCAGAGGCCGCGTCACAGTTTCGCATCGGCCAATCAGCACTGTCCATGTACTAGCGGGGGCGGGGCTGCCGAGGCAGGAGGAAGATGGCGCCGGGGGCGAGGTGAGGTGTTGGCAGCAGAAAGGGGTTCGGGCGTGGGGGGCGGGGGAACGTGGAGCGATGGCCCGCGCCGGCCGCAGGGCTGGATAAAAGCCGTCGCGCCGCGGGTGTAGGAGGGAGGGAGGTGAGGGCGCCACGAGAGTATGACGGGGCTGTACGAGTTGGTGTGGCGGGTGCTGCACGCTCTGCTCTGTCTGCACCGCACGCTCACCTCCTGGCTCCGCGTTCGGTTCGGCACCTGGAACTGGATCTGGCGGCGCTGCTGTCGCGCCGCCTCCGCCGCGGTCCTAGCGCCGCTCGGCTTCACGCTCCGCAAGCCCCCGGCTGCCGGCAGGAACCGCCGTCACCACCCGCACCCGCGCGGGAGGCCGGGCCTGACCGCCTCGCACCTCCGGCTGCGCTGGCGCGCGGACTGCCGTTCCCTGGAGAAGCTGCCAGTGCATATGGGCTTGGTGGTCACCGAAGAGGAGCAGGAGCCCAGCTTCTCGGACATCGCGAGTCTCGTGGTGTGGTGTATGGCTGTGGGCATCTCCTACATTAGCGTCTACGACCACCAAGGTGAGGTCCGGCGCGGTTAGGGGGACCGGGGCATCTTCTACCGCCGGGACCGCACATCCGGCAGATGTATCCGGGGCGTGCCGCTCACCGCGGCGTTCCAGGCTCTTCCAGTTGCCAAGTGCTGAGGCCCTAAAGTGCATATTACGGTGCCAGCGCTTTCGAGGAAGGGAGAGAGGATTTAGTAACACCTCCTAAGTCCCTCTATTCGATTCAGTCGTTTTCCATGCATCTAAAAACGTTTCTTGTTCTTTACAATGCCCCGGTAAGGTAGATGGTATTTGTATACCCTTGTTTCACAAAAGAGAGACTTGAGGATCGCCAGCATCTGTGCTTCTCCACGTACTCGCCCTTTTGTTGCACCGCAGTGTTTCTTCAGGAACCGCTCTTAAGTCACTGTCAGACTGTGAAGGGTGAGAGACGTAAGCTGAGGGGTTGGGGCCAGGTAGCAGTTGAACTGGGCCTGAGAGAAGTCTGTGAGACTGGATGGGCAAAAATGAAACTCATCACTTAGTCTTCAGAGTTCTGGGGTAGTGTGCAGTCCTTGAGAGAATAGTTCCCTTCCTTAAGTTCTGATGAAGGGAATGAATTTCACCGTGGGGGATTTTGTTAAGTACGAGAATTTAACACTTACTGGGTAGCGACAAACCTTCAGCACTGTGCTGAGCACATTCCTTGTGATTTTGCATTTGACTCCGTGGACTGTCAGGCTTATGGGGAGTAGACAAATACGTAAGTGACAGGGTTAATAACAAGAAGTGTTGAGAGTAAGTAAACACTATGAGATTGGGGGAGAGAAATTTCAAATGGAGGAACTTGAAATGTTCAGGCAGAGGAAATGGGCTTTCAGTGGGACATTATGAGTTGGAGATAAGGTTGATGATTGTCAGGCTTGAGTTCAGTTAGATCTTGAAAGCAGTGGAATATTTTTTAGAGACACAGGTGTCGTAACAATGATTTAGATGTACTGGTATGAAGGAAGGAAACGAATATTTTATTCTCTGTTCAGTAATGTAAATTACTTGTATGCGCCATGGAAGCTACAGTTTGATTTTTTTTCCTTAGAATCTTTCTCAGATAGGTGGGTGTCAATTGTGGGGTTTTGTCAGAAAGATAGGGTGAGGTCAGACGTAACTTTTAGAGGGTATTAATCTTTAACCTGGCATCTTCCTTGCAGTCAGCAAGGAATAGGGTGACTCAGCCTGTCATCATCAAATGATTTAACCTATAGGATAAAGTTTAATGGGGACTGACATTTTATGGAACTTCCCAAAGAAGTCAGCAGACCAAAAGAAATCACAAGACTGTTAGGAAGGGACACTATCATTGCTTAAACCAGTGCAACACAAATACTGCCTGGGGAAAGAAGTGAAGCAGAAATGGAAATTGAAGCCATTAAACAATGTGGTGAATTGACTTATAAGTGAATCCCATATGTACAGTTGATTCTTTTCAAGCAAGTACCTTTATATTCCAGAAGGAAAGGCAGATGTATAGCTAACAGTTTAACTTGATGATTGTACCTACAAAGATTGTAATGTTGCCACACTTCCTTGTTCCAGCAGTTCCTGTTAACGAATTGCTGATGTGGTTCAGAAATATCTTGTGTTACATTTGCTAAAAGAAAGATGATTGTTAATGAAAAGGAAGAAGTCAAGCTAACCAGGTATTGACAAAAAAACCAGAAAGGACGTTCGGTTTGGTTTTTAGATTTTATTTGTTTGAGAGAAAGAATGAGCCAGAGAGCATTGGCAGGGGGAGGAGCAGAGGGAGAGGGAAAGGCAGACTCCCCGTTGAGCAGGGAGCTCAAGGAACAGGACCTGAGTAAAGAGATTTGCCTAACTTGTCTCCATGATTATAACTGAAGAGATGACCATAATTGGGGTGGCAAAAAAACTGGAGCTTAGGGGCTTTTGGGTGCTATGCTTGCCTGGGTCTCACTTGAAGTATGCTTAACTCCACGTTACCCGGGTATGTATTGTTATCTTCAGTGATGGGACCTGTTCTTACTGCCCAGCTCTATTGGTGCCATGCGGAGACCTTGCTGTAGGGCAGTATTTTTCAAAACGTGGCCGAGGGACCATCTGAGAATGAGTCATTGGGGATGCTTATAAGAAACAGAGATTCAGGGGCCCCTGGGCGACTCAGTTGGTTAAGTGGCTGCCTTCAGCTCAGGTCATGCTGGAATGGAGCCCCACATCAAGCTCCCTGTTCGGTGGGGCAGTCTGCTTCTTTCACTCCCTCTGCCTGCCCTTCCCCCTATACTTGTGCTGTTTCTGTCAAATAAATAAATAAAATCTTAAAAAATAGAGATTGAACAGTTATAGATCAGACTGAATTAGGGGAGTGGGACCTGAGCATCTTTGTTTTTATCAGACTGTCTATACACCGCCTCTGTGCACTGAAGTTTGAGGCTAGCACAAATTGAGGGATACTCTTCTACTTACCTTACTTCAGATTATTCATTCTTCATGTTCCTTTTCATGAGGGAGGCAATCTGGGTAGGGGCTTACTATTAGCATAAATTGGAGTGTTCCAGAATTGTCTTCTATGTGAAGATTCAGCAACAGGAGAACAATTCTTTTTTGTTTTGTTTTGTTTTTGTGTTGCTCTTTCTGGTGTTAACTTCCATAGTTGTAAAGTTGTAAATCTGGACTAGGTATCTTCTGAAATTGTTTTTGGGTACAGATTTCTCACATTGGCTTTAAAAATGCCTGCCCAGTGTACTCCCAGCCTCCCCAACCTACTTCTCACTATCTTACATACCTTTTGCTGCATCCATGTTTAGGTTACTTGATGTTCCCTCTCACTGTCTACTGGCTGTCTACTAGTCAGAGGCTCTCATTGATCGTTGTAAGTCCATCCTTACTCACTATGATCTCTTACGTAGCCTGTCTTGACTCTTCCATTCTTTTATCTTGCTTTATCCTTGGATATCCTGAGATCTTTGTACATCTCTAAAGGTATTTCTTTTCTAAAGTAGTAGTCATGTATGTGGGCCTGAATCATCTTACTAGATTGTAAGCTCCACAGATTTATCTATCCTTTTAATTTTTGCTTCTCCTACAGTGTGTAGTTTGGTGTTGTACATGTAATTTGTTTCCCAGCATGAATACCCAGGACCCCTAAAATAATGGAGGGAAATGAACATAGTTTGTCCGAGTTGTATTTGGCACAGTGACACAGATGCTGTTGGGTGGTATGGTTTAACTAAGTACTTCTTGTTCTCCTTGTATTGAAATACAGAGTTGGAAGAAGTGTTGAAAGTCCAGTTGTATTGTGATTATATCTTGTTACAATGAGCAGTACAAACTAGGGTGCTTGTCTTCCTTCATGGGGAAACTCATGTATGGGAACATCTGTTCCCAGTCTTCACCTTTGTGTACTTTTTGTCCTGTACAGAATTTCACATGTACCCTAGCATCCTGGAATGTCCTCTCTTTTGCCACAAAGTTAGGTACCCAGCGAAAGGCTTCCATTAATCCTTATAATGTCCGCTCTGTTACTTTTAGTTAAGGTCTTGGTTATTAAACCCCCAATTTTGCTGACTTTGAAAAGCCTTACTCTGCTTTTGTTAACTTTTGAAATGACCTCATTCTCTTGAGTACCTTTCTGTTTAGCCACAGTACTGTACCCGTGTAATGGGTCCAGTTTATGAAAATAAACCTTGGGGCGCCTGGGTGGCTCAGTGGGTTAAAGCCTCTGCCTTTGGCTCAGGTCATGGTCTCAGGGTCCTGGGATCGAGCCCTGCATCGGGCTCTCTGCTCAGTGGGAAGCCTGCTTCCCCTCCTCTCACTGCCTGCCTCTCTGCCTACTTGTGATCTCTGTCAAATAAATAATAAAATTAAAAAAAAAATAAACCTTTACTTAATAGGAATAATTAGTCTCTGTTGAAGTCTTACTATGTACCAGATACTATGCAAAGAAGTACATTAAATCCTTAGCAGTTTTACACATCAAGAAACTGACACTTAGAAAGCCAAGCACCCATATCTAGTAAGGAGCAGCTCTAGAATTTGAACTAGATTTTCTTGTAGAGGTTTTGTACTTAACTGTTTTGCCATACTGACCTCCACTGGTAAGAGAATATGACTATAATATAGTCACTTCTAGTATTATTCCTAATTATGTTGGGTCATCTTAAAGCCTTTATTAAAGTGGTACTTATCTACAGGTAATAGAAATAATTTGTAACGTATTTGAAGGCAAATAGAATTTTCTTCATACCACTAATACAGAGGTTAATCCTATGAGTTATAGGACATACTTTCTTTACTTTCAACCAAATTTAATTTTATGGGACTTCTGGTCTGTGTTGAATTATTTCTTTGTCAGGTAAACAGAGTATGTGAAGACATTCTTCTCATTTTTAAGATGTGCACCCAGAGGCTGAGAAATCCCGTGCGGTTTGTTAATTGCGCACGTCTCTCCTGCTGAAGAGCTGGGCTGGGAAGCACAGCACTTGTCACATTTGCTGTGCCGCAGTCACAGGTCTCTTCCCTTGCTACAGTGTGCTCATTCCAATGAAGTATCCTGGGGCTCTTCCTTAAAGTAAAATTGTTTAATGGCATATAAGATCTATTTTGTTATGACTACTTTAGTCATGTAAAATTTTAATGGTAGTTTTTTAAAATTTTAAATAATTGCTTCATAAGTATATGTTTTTTTCTCTGAAGATTGCTTCTGATAGGGTAATTGGGTTGTTAGAGAAATTAAATGAGGGCAACCACTAGGTCACTTACGTGTCTTGTATAAAAGGATAAAAGGCCACTTTGAAGGATGGACACTTATTAATTCCATAGCTGGTTATACTTTATAATTAGGAGAGATTATTTTAGTGTTTATCCCATTTTTCTCTCTTCCCTTCCCTCGTCTTTTTTTTTTTTTTTTTTTTAAGATTTTATTTATTTATTTGACAGAGCACAAGCAGAGGGAGCCAAGCAGGGAGCCCCATGTGGGACTTGATCCCAGGACCCTGCCTTGTAAATACCTGCTGTAGATGT